ACCCATAGTCCTTTTGCACTGACCACACACCAGGCCAGGGAAGTAGGTGAAATTTGTTTTTTGCTGGTCCTCAGACCTCAAACTTGGCCATTCTATGACTAGGACTGCCATCAGTCAACAAACATATGGTTCAAGCTACCTCTGGCCATTCAGGGGCTTTGGCTGTGATCTTTTCTGTGTATCCTCTGGCATTCTCAAGACCATATCGGTGAAGCCGAAGTTTAATGTAAAATCAGACTGCACAGAAAAAATCTCCTGCTGTCAGAATTACTCTAGAAAATCACTTAGGATGTCTCTGTTTTAGAGATCTCAAGGTCTAACATGATCAGTTTTTTCATCAGCAGTGAGAAAGAACTTTTCACATCCAACACAGCTGGTTTGTGAGACTGGGGCCAACCATAGTGTGTGGTGAATAGATACCATTCCTTTAAACACATTAAACTCTGAGAGGTGTCTATCACAAGTGAGGTGTCTGTACCACAAGAGGCTGAGGGAGTGGCAGATACAAGTAGTCCTTGGCCTACTCACCTTTTATTATTGTAAATTTTCAGCTAAGTGGTCAATACATGGCTCCCATCTAAAAAAGGAAACAGCCAGAATGTTCCCTTGCCTACCTACCTGCGAACCCATGAATTATGGAAATGGTGCCGGCATGTGGTTTAACTAAGACAAGTTACTCAAATAATGGGAAGAGCTACACTCTGGGTCTGAGAACTGTCAACGTCTTCAAGTCACCTAATACAGGCAGCTAATTAAATGGACACAAAGTCACCCCAACCCATACTTGCCATTAGTCTCCAGGGCAAGTTATCCTGACTCTCTACTTTCAGAGTCAGAATGTGTTCAACATCACATTAGGACTTTTACTCCAGCACCATGATTAAAAGGAGTATTTGACAACAGATCTTCAAGCATTTGGAAAGTATCTATTGTGTGCTTATTGTGTCATGTTTTGGGAGTGAAGGTAAAATATTAATGAAACATATTTTCTTTCTCCTCCAGTCTATTGCAAGAGCAAACAATACACAGGAAATTCAAATGTGATCAGTGTGAGTATAGGGTGGTACAAGAACACAAGGAGGGGGAAGGGCGGATCATATCTTGAGTGGTTGACCAGGCCCAGAAGAGGGAGGCAGTTCTTTCAAAATAGAGGGAGGGTGTTGCATAAGTCTGTACCATGTGTAGCAGAAGCTTTATTGACGATGAAATGAGTGTTGATGATGAAGTGAATAAAAGATGCCCTGTATGCCCTGAATATATACCATATTTTCAGGAAAAGTAAAATGGAGGTATGAGCCACAAACAGTCTACACACCTGATGAGAATTTGCAGGGCAGGGGAAAGCTAAATCCTAACTAAAACAAAGCAACAAAGTTTACAACCCTCAGTAGCCTCTTAGTACCTTGCCAAAAGGTTGTTTGCATGAAATACCAAATACTTGAAAGCCTTACAGAAAATAGTATGCTAACTGTGTCTACAAATCATTTACAATATGATAAGCATACATTTACATGGATGTTTAAACAAGATCTTCAAAACACTCATGAACATGTTTGGACTACTAACAATACAGCATCAGCAAATGGTCCAGCGGAACTCTTTGTTCAGTAAGGTAACTAATCATTGATCTGTAATTTTGTCACCGAGGCGCATGTTATTCAGAGGAAAACAAAAAGTAGCACTGGATTTATTGGGAATTTTCAACTGAAGAAATTTTTAAAAAAACAGCATCTTTTTTTAGTCCACACAAAAACATCTCTTGGCCACCAAAGCATAGGAATGGGGTATGCTGCCCAGGAAGAGAAGGCCGAGAATACAGATTTTTCTTCCATGTTTCCATTTCTTTATTGGGTTTTAATTGTATTATATAACTCAGTGTATCATTCTTTTAGATGTGCTATTAGTTGGATTACCATCTTCACTACAATACTATAGTCACCAAGAAGGCAAATGTGTGTGCTGCTTCCTAATAAACAACTATTTCTATCCCCAACATTAGAAACACAAAAGGAGGAAAGAAATAATACAAAGAGAGAGACTCAAATAGTAGTAATTTCATTTTCTATCTTTGAGGTTATTAAATCAATTCAGAAGATGTGCCTCCATGAAAACCTTATCAAAATCATATGCCCGCCTGTAGCAAATATACCAATCCATATTTAAACTTCCTATAGTCACATACATCTTGAAAAATATTGAATGTGCGATTGTCCTCATCATTTCACCAAGTCATTTAAGGACAAAACAATTGTCAGTTGCCCTAAATGATTTTTTCACACAGCCACTAGCAATGTTTGTTAATATATTCTTTGCCTTACAAATTTCTAAATGTTCACTTCAGAATAATAGAGGAGAGTAAGTGCTTCCATTTTATTCAACATGAAGTTTCATTCAATGGGAATCAATGAAATATAAAGAAACAAAGCACCTATGATTTAGAATGAGAAAGACCTGCCTTTGAATCATGGCTTTCTCTTATACTAGTTGTATGACCTTGGGAAAATCACTTAACATCTCTGAACTTCAGCTCCCTCAGCTCTAAAATAGAGATGATATTAATAGGAGCTACCTAATCGGGTAGCTGTATTAATAAAGACATTATGTGTAAAACACAGTATGCTGTCTGGCTTGCTTCAGAGACTCGATGTTAGCTACTGTCATGATTGTTACTAATACTAAAATAGCTATCTTATTAACTGCTGATTTCATTGTTAGTGCTTTTTTGAATGTACAATTTAGGAGAAAGAGCTTTGTTGGCTATAAGCTCCTAAAACCTGTGTTTGAATCCTGAGTGTTCCGTGGAATGCAGGAAAAGCCACTTAACTTCTCTGAACCAGAGCTGCTTCTAATGGAAAATTTGTGTTCTAATGCCTACCTTGCCAGATTATTACAAAAGCCAAATGAAGCCATTCTTAAGGACACATTCAATGAATAGAAACTTCTAGTATCAATATTATTGCAATTTTAGTAGTTGAAAAATGAGGAATCTTTTGACTTACATACCTTGGAGTAAAATAATACCATCTTTCCAGGGATGGAAAGCATTGTTGTCTTCTGTTGCCAACCCTGATGGTTGGTGATGCCCTAGCATGTTCTATGAGGACTCCAGTATTTACTGAAGCCTTTGTAAGCATGTAGTGTTGATAAATTCAGAAATCGGGCCTTCCAAACTGTGATTATGAGTAAGTATATTTAAATATCTTAGGATATTTGCATAAAGCCACTAAAAACCTACAAAATATTCTACAGGTACTACATATTTTAAAGATTGCATGTATGAAGCAACTCTTATTATCATAAAAAAGGCATTGGAGGAAATAGAGTAGTAATATCTCTAAGAGCAGGAAAAAAAACAACCCAAAAACCAAAAAACAGACCAATCCTCTCACCTTTATTCTTCTCCAAATCAGTTTGGCAAAGCACACAGAGTATTAGAAACTCAGTTATTGGCCCAGTTTGTCATTATCCAAACATTTTAAGTTAACTGGTTTCTATTCATACCAATCAGTCGTAGTGACAATCATAGATGGAGTGAAGGGTAGAGACCTTAAGATAACAAAGGTTTCTCCTGGTGATTCTAAATTATCCTTGTATCTTACAAATAATCGCTTTTAACATAGAATGTATAGAAAACAAGAGGAGCATTACATATAAGAACCAATTCTTCAGAAACCAAAGGAACAGGACTGAGATTTGTTTTAAAGTAATTAATGTGTTTTATTTCCTAGAACTGAAATATTCTGTGGTTCTCAGATCTAAACTTCTGAAGCTACAGTCAACAATTTTTCATCAGAGCCCAGGGGAGAGGGGCAGGGGTGAAAGAGCCAAGAGATGGAGGAAGGCACAGGGACCACTAGGGAGAGGGTAGGAGGGGATACATATTCCTCTGTCGTCTCAGTAGGTTACATATCGAATCTAGTGATAACACTTCTGGGACCAGGTGGGGGTTCGTAGATGGAAAATGATACTGCAAGGAACACCAAAGCCCATTACAAAAAGAAAGTCATCAGACCCCAAAAACAGAAAGGAAGCCTTCCAGATCATCTTAGAAATGGGGGTAGCAATGGAGAGCTAGGGGCAACGTGGAGGCACACCCAGGGGTAGTTCTTAATTTTCTTTGGAATTTCCTTTTATTAAAAAGATTTTCTAAAATACATGTCTTTTCTTCCTTGTCTGAGCGATGTATATGATGGTAGAGTGGCCCTGAGGCTGTGGGGAGAGGGGAAGGGGCAGCCAGGGATCTGTCTAGGGCATCCCAGCAGTGGCCCTAGAGATCTAAATGGGCACAGATATTGGGCACAGATATTTTTCACCATCTCCACCCAGCATGCTGGGCAAATTCAAGCCCTCAGATCTCACAAACAACTTGGAAGCCCCAATGTTCTGATGAAAAAACGATTACACCCAGAACTCCCTAGGTCGGCCAAAGGCTTTATGGAAGGGAGGCCCTTCCCCAGTCTGTCCCACTTTCCCTGAACGTATGAAGCTGGGATAACAGGTACGGGAGGAGAAGACAGGAGCTCGGGAAGATGTCACCTTCCCTCCCCCACCCCCCCTACCGTTTGAAGATTGCCCCTCCCAGGCCCTGGAAGTGCCCTCCTGCGCTTTATCCTCCACCCCGTCCACTCATTCCCGATTGCCATGCAGAGATCCAGAATGCCTGGGGGACGGAGGGGTGTGAGGAGGTGAAAACAGCCTTTCTAGGCCCCAACAGAAGACCAGGGAAACACTTTCAGGCAGGGAGGGGCACGGTAACCTCATTTCATTCCGAGGAGCAGAGGCCCTGATCCTAGGGGCTTGGGGGGCACAGAGTTGAGAGCCAGTGGCCTGCCCGTCCAGGTCAAGCCCCAAGGGCGGGGTTGGAGAGGGACAATGAGCGGAGGAGAAGGGCGGGCGGGGGTGGGGAAGGCAGTCCCAGTTTGCAGGCCGTGGCCAGATTCCCCAGCAACAGCCGGGCCGCAGCAGGAACGGGGCGGGGGCTCTTCTTGAAACATTGCTGACTACAGGCTGTCGCGATCTCCGCCGCCCGGGGCGTCGGCCACCCTCTCTGCGGCGTCAACTTCTCGCTGATCCTCGTGAGGCGGCCCCCAGGCGCGACCGGGCTCGGACGCGGCGCCTTCGTGCTCCACCTCCAGGCCGGGAGGCCTCTGGCCCTCGCTGGCCTCCGCCGCCGCCTCCTCTTCGGGCGCGGCCTCCTTGGGCCGTTTGGCGGCGTCCTCCGGCAGGTCCTCCGCGCTCCTCTTCAGTGGCCCCTTCTCATCGTCGTCCTCGTCGTCCTCCACCTCCTCGGCGGGCTCGTCCACGACCAGCTTCCCCGGCCCGTCGCCGCCGCCCTCGGCGTCGCTCTGCTTGTCCGCGTCGCTCTCGGCGGCCTTGGGCTCCCGCTGGGGCCCGTCTGCGCAGCGCTTCTCCTGGGCGAACCCGTAGTCGGCCGCCTGGACCGTGGGGTTGTTCTCGATCTCCCACAGGCCCTCGCTGAAGCCGCGCCTCTTGTTGGGCTGGCCGAACTTCTCCTTACACTCCTCGTACGGGAAGAGGTACTTGGGGCCCAGGAAGGCCGTCTCGTGGGTCCCGAAGAAGAACACCTGGTACCGGTTAGGTTCGGCCATTTGCTCTACCCGGGCCGGCCAGTGGGCGTAGCCCTTTAACTTGGCGAACACCAGGTCCCCGCTCTTGTACTTGCGCCTGCAGTAAAGCGACATGGCGAGGGCTGCGGGACCAGGCCTCGGCGACGGCCCGGAGGCGACACCCAGGCTGCGGGGGCGGAAGTGGCCGCTGAGCTGGGGCTGTCACGTGGCCTCGCCTCGAGGCCCCTCCCCCCGCACGCCCACCGACCGGGCGGCAACGCTCGGCGCTCTGAGAAGATTCCACCGCGAAGAGCGCATCATCTCTGAGACCCGGAAGCCGGTTTGACCCACGCTTGGACACCGTGGTTTCTAGAATGATAGAGCAAATAGCTTGGACAGCTCGGTGGCGGTCGTGCCAGTCAATCTCTAGGGCACCTGGGTTGCGGAGTTTACTGTGTGCCAGAGTGGCCTAGCAAGGGGGCAATTTGGCAGGAAAACACAGTGGCATGATTGGTACATATTTCCATGAAACTACTTAACGGACATGCAACGTACCGGTTAAGGCCCGGGGCTGCTCACTACAGGAAACCACACCTGCGTCAGGTGCTTCTGATTGATGGCTGGGTCAGTGGCTTCCACCCTTTTCTGATTTCCTTGGGGACTGGCACTGGAGCCTGCCAGGAGGCTCAGGAACAGGGTGGAGGTCTGGCAAGGGGATAGAGTCAGCATTGTGGTTGGGATGTGTAGAGTTCACATCACTTGATAACAAAAACTTCAAAGATTGTTGTTATGTCTTTAGGGTCACAAAATGTATATAGCAACACCATGACCATGGCAAACCAGACATATCAAAATTTCCTACTTTACATGGAAAGGTTCCCACGGATGCCAGACAGGGACTTTACCCTTTCAGTGATTCTTGCATATTGTGAAAGATGAGGCTATAGAGTTCTAACACTGAGTATGGCAAATGTGCTCAGTATCTGTCTACAAAGAGGAAAATTGGACTTATTATGCATAAGAATTAGGTAGAGGTCTGCAGACATGCTGTTGGTAATGAACTTCCTGTGGGCTACAGACTGGAAAAGCATCATCTCAGCTGAAAGACTATTTTAAGAAGATAATTTTCTTCAGATATAAGGCTATTCTAAACTGATATGAATGAGAGTTTTAGTGCAACTCCAGTTGTTTACACAATGTTCTACATCTTTTTTGAATCGTGCTAGCTAACTGTGAACAAGCACTCTGAAACCTAGCCAAGTTTATCATAATAGTACTCTTGGCTATTATGATAAAGACCTTTCAATACGAATCATGTATTTAACTAGACAGATGTTCCTTCCTAGTGTAACCAGCAAGGACCAGTGAAGAATTAGAACCATTAACTCATTTCAGTACAACTCGAATTTGTTTCCTGTTTGCTGCATTACATCAGCCATTTTACCTCTGGATAGTAGAGACCTGCTCTGGGCAAAAGGAGATACCTTCTCCTAATAAGGTGAAACAAATATGATGTCCTTTGATAATTCTAAACAAGTTCTTTTAGCTCTTTTGCCAAGCCATTTTCTTAGAATGCCTATCTGCCCCACAGATATCTACAGTTTTATCAAATAAGCAGCATCAACAATTCATCAACATTTCATGCACAAATCAAATCAACATTCTGCTACAAAGATGAATCTGACAAAACTCCTGCTCTCAATTTTATAGGAAAAGTGCTAGAAAAGTAGAAATATTCACTGGCTATAGAATAAAACAAAATCATGGACAGCTGTGGATCCCAAGGAATTTGGAATTTCTGTAAGCAGAGATCTTGCTATATGTGGCCTTTTTTCCCCCCTCACTCGTAAGTGTGGTGCACCAGTGCACCAATCATGCATGAAGGTTGCTCAAGTAGAAAAAAGTCTGGCTAGAGAACATGTCTAGAAAGGAAATTTAGCTGTGTCGTCAGCTCAGTCGCAAGGTAGGACCAAACCTAAAAACCAACTGCTTAAGGTCAGTGTGATCATAGGAAAATTGGCCACACTATCACAAGCCCAACATCAATAGCAGGGTGGCTGAACCATAGCGGGTGTACAGGTATGAGGTTATTAATTGGACTGGAGGTCTGAGGGTTAGCGCGATAACTAACACCTATCAAAAACTGTGATTAAAAAGTATAGTAGGAGGTAGAGACAAGAAGGTCTAGTAGAGAGGAATCTAGGTCTGCCTAGATCTGTATTAGGCAATACAGACTCTTATTAAGGCAAAGGAGTGTCACTCCCCAAGTAGTTCTTGTGCATCCATCCTTGTCCACTAATATACAGTGTGATGCTGAAAGACTTGCACAAAAGGTGTTTATCTTTGATGAGTTTAAAATCTAAGAGATGAGGCACAGGAGAATTCATTACAGAGCAATATAAGATAGTCTTCAAATGCTAAATCATGAGTTCTTTGCATAAATACCAGAATAATTTCAAGAGAAATCAATGGGAGTGTGGTTATTAGGGCAGGCCTATGAAAGGAGTAGTAGTAGATACTAATAGAATAGAAAAAATTTTGGCATTCCTCACTTGTTTACCAGCTTTGCAAGGCAGGGAGTAGATATAATCTTTCCGAACCTCTGCTACATGATTTTAAGACATTTAAAGTAATGCTTAGAATTTCTCTCAGGATTGTAACAAATATTAATGAGATTATGGGCAGAAAAGTCCAAACAATGGGTGTGAAGTTTATGATGTACTGATACGTGTGAAGTAGAATTTTGTAATGGATAGGATTAGGCTATTACTATCATTAGGCTAAATGAGGTAAAAGATATATCAAAAGGAGTAGAGAGTCATGAATAAGGACACTGAAGAATGAAGAAAAGTCCCCACCAGCCAAATTGCATATTACATCGAGAACTGCATATCCAACACAACTTCTTCTGTAGGAAACTGACATAAAAATTCTTGTTACTTGGAAATATGATTTTGAAAAACAGTGCTCTTTAATTAAATTTATCAACTGGTGGTAGCTTATTTCAAAAAGGAGAAAACAAGAGGAAGGTTGAAAAAAGAAGCATGCATTTAAAGAGAGTTTAATGGAGACCACTTTCACAGATCCCTCATTTCTTTTATAAACTCCATTCTCAGGGATGCAATTAAGTGGAGTGATGTTGGCTTCTTTTATTTTTGAAACCAACTTGTTTTTTGTCTGTCTTGCTTAAAGTGAGGAGAGTAGGGAGGAGGTATTCGTAGAAACTGGGTTTGGTTTAAATTTGGCTATTATAAACAAAGTACACATGAGCAACTACAATTATTAATTTTCAGTAACTAGATCTCCATGAGCTCAACTGTTTCTAATAGGTCAGGATATTTGAAAAATCCAATGTATGAGGAACACCTGTTTGTAAAGAGGACCTAATTTCAGCAGCAGCGTACCTATCAAAACAGCATCTTAGAGTCCAAAACATGTAACGCTTCTCAGTTTCCTTTTCTGGAAAACTGATGATAGGATTTAAAAGCTGCTTGGCAAAAATTATAAAACATGGGCAATAAAACAATATAATTATACAACAGAGAGAATAGATATCTAATTGATGTTTTCTTGTTTAATTACTTTTAAATTCAATTAGTTTGCTGTAAACTATGATTTAAAAGAAATGTAATTGTTTTCTATGTGCTTTTGTCTTCATTAAAAATATTAACTGCCTCTGGGTTTATACAATAGAAGTGTTTATATATGGTTGGTATTTGAGATCAAGGCTTTTCTTTTTTAAATATTATAGCTGAAATTATTATGCAAAAAATAAGTACCCCTTCCTCTACCATGGGTAGAAAATCCCCCACTATTTTATTTTTAAAAGTCACAGGAGGTCTGCTACGTCTATATTTTGTCTCTACATTTTATTACTGTCCACTTAGCTTAACCTTTAAAACCCCAGGGATTTCTGAAATCCAAGGGAACTTGTGGGGGTGTGGAAAAATTCATTATCAAAGAGCCAAAGAATAATTTAAGGGATGGTCCCAAGGAGCTATGTATTATCAATTTAAAAGTGAGTCAAATCTTGTACCTGCCTTTAGGCCGGGCACAGTGGCTCACGCCTGTAATCCTAGCACTCTGGGAGGCCAAGGGAGAAGGATCACTTCAGGTTAGGAGTTCGAGACCAGCCTGAGCAAGAGCGAGACCCCATCTCTACTAAAAATAGAAAGAAATTAGCCAGACAATTAAAAATATATAGAAAAAATTAGCCTGGCATGGTGGCGCATGCCTGTAGTCCCAGCTACTCAGGAGGCTGAGGCAGAAGGATTGCTTAAGCCCAGGAGTTTGAGGTTGCTGTGAGCTAGGCTGAGGACACAGCACTCTACCCAGGGCAACAAAATGAGACTCTGTTTCAAAAAAAAAAAAAAAAAAAATCTGTACCTGCCTTTGATGATGAACTTTGGGGAGGAAGAGCTGACAGTACAGATTTTCAAGAGGTATTTGTGTGCTAGCAATTTGGGCCCCTTTGGCCAGTCATAAATGGCACGGGATGGTGTGCAGGAGGCAATTGGGGAGGTCAGAATTGTTTTCAAAACTGTTGTTTTACTGGCTATGGAAGGAAAATTGCCACTCCAAAATTAACAAAAGAATCAGGTAATGAATAATTATATTTATTATTCTGATTTGAGGGCTTAAAGATTTTAAAATTTATTCTTTGGGAAAAAAGGCAAATAAAATGTGTTAAAATAATATGAATATTTTTCTAATTTTGCATGATATTTATTGAAGCCCTGCCACATGAAAATGTATGAGTTACTTATCTATATATTTAGCTAAGTTTAAACAAATAAAAGTTATCAGTGCTGGTGAGTAATCAATAATTGGGGATGAGATGCACATAACATCTATTTATGTAATAAATATATGATTAGATGGCCATACTCGGTGTCCATAAAGATTTTAAAGTACAATTTTGTGACTTGGAAAATGCTCGCAATCCAAAGTTGAGTAAAAAAACTGGACAAAATATATAGCATTGGTAATTTAAGAGCTTATGTGAAACCTAGTCCCTTAAATCTAACATATGTCTAATCCTAGGATTAGAGAAAGGATGTTTGAAGTGAACAGGGCAGTGGGAGTCAAGTGTGATGCTGGTACCTATGAAGTGCTCGATTACTGTTAGCCAGTAA